CAACATAAACTGGATTATTTTAAAACCGTTAAGCAAAAGCACTGAAAATACTCTGTTGATTTTTTCCATCTGTAAAAGGTGGAGTTAGTTTACTCTCTATATGTTATAGAGTAGATGTGTTATTACTAAGTTTGTTTTTTTTAAGAATAATTTTTGAAACGCGGATTATCCTAGCTCTTTGTTTAGGTGGTTAAACTGAGCTTGTATAGAACTTCTGAAAAAAATCCATTGGGACTGAACTATGCAAATAAATTTAGCCTGTGTTTTATTTGTGGCAAAAAGATAAAGACCGTTCCTGTCTTTTCAGGGGGACATTGTGTCATGTGCTGGCACTTACATCCACGTGTGGAGCATCAACGGCAACCCCACGGCAAGCGTGAACACCTTCACTGGCCGAAGCCAGCAGATCATGTGCTGCTTCGTGTCGGAGATGAACGAGTGGGATACCCAGAACGTCATCGTGACGGGCCACTCGGATGGAGTTGTGCGGGTGAGCACCGTAGCAGCAGGGAGGACCCAGAGCAGCTCTGCTGTGCTGCCGTGCTCCTCTCAAGCCAATGAGCCTGGGGGAAGAGGGAGCTCCACATTACGTAGGCAGTGCAGCTTGCTTTTGGTGCTGGAACCAAACCGTGCCATTAGTCCAATCACTTTTTTTGGTCACCAGCTTTTCTGCCTGTAGATGGCAGCTTTTGTTTGCAGATTTTATTCTGCACACCTTTGGAGAATTAATTTGCCTGGGAATAAATCAGGAACTTAGCAGTATGCAACCTGATTTTCAACACTTTATGTGCAGTCCCTGGTGTGTCTGAACCAGGGTCTACTGGTCAGATTGCAGTATGGGATGAATTTTTGCTTTGAACAGCTTAAGATCTTAAATAACATCCCGTGCCTTGTTCACTTGTGATTCAGGCACGAGCATAGATTCCTGTATCTACTATCCAGTATCTACAGACCAAAAAACCCAAAATACTCAGAATGGAAATGTAGCCTTTCGTGCTCTCAGTGCATATTTACAGTTCTGATAGGCCACCTTGACTCTGGGAATAGCTGGGAAGAAAGCTAAGTGTTCGATATGTTCTTTCCCCCTGACCCTCCAGTTCTGGCGGATGGAGTTTTTGCAAGTACCAGAAACGCCAGCTCCAGAGCCTGTGGACATGCTAGAAATGCAAGAGGATTGTCAGGAAGCACAAATAGGTATGTCTCTGACAAGTGTTTTCCATTTGCCTTTTATCCAGCCTTTTCTATCCTGTGCAGTACAGAATGGATGTTATACATTCTGTCCTGATACAGAACAGACATCCCGCATGCAATTAAAAACAAAATATGAATCTTCATTCATTAGCTTCCTTATGCTGGTTTTATACTGCTGCAAAAAGAAAAAAAGTTACATCCATGCTACATTTCTTGTGTTTAGAGTAAACTTTTCTTTGTGTGACTGCTTCAGTTGCCAGTAAACCCAGTGAATGCCACCATTGTCAAAAAGCTAAATATTTCTTTAAATAAAATCATGGCATGATATCAGACTTAAAACCTAGTCTGTATCGGGTTTCTCATCCTGGTTTTCACCACTGCTGAGTGTTTAGTTGTTTGAGCTTTGCAGAAAGGCAGTGCAACTGCTGAACAGGAAAAAAGCTCAGGCAGGAAAGGAGACTTGCTAACACCATCCACTCCTTGCGTCATCCAGGGCAGGAAGCCCAGGAAGAGGAGAGCAGTGATTCCGAGGCAGATGACCCGTGCGTCAGCCACGATGTGAAACCACAAGAGAGTCAGAGCCAACCGAGCAGCACCAGCCACCGGCCGAGGTCGTCGTCCAACAGGGCAGCAGCAGCGTGGTCAGCAGACAGCGGCTCCGACGACTCCAGGCGTTGGTCGGACCAGCTCAGCCTGGATGAGAAGGATGGCTTCATCTTTGTGAATTATTCGGAGGGACAAGCGAAAGTGCATCCCCACACTCAGGTTAACCACCCACACGCCAGCTACGCTGAAGCACGGCACTACAGCAAGCTGAAACCAGGTAAGCTGGGAACACTGCCTCTGGGACATAAATGTGCTGTCAGCACTGCGCCCTAAGGCTTCCCTCTCTGTCTGCTCAGGGCTGTGTTGTAGTTTAGAAAACAGATGTCTTTAAATGGTGTTCTTTCCCCAGTCAGTTGAGCTTCATGTGTGGCTGATAAATGGCAAAACAAGAGAAAAAATTGTCTGCAGAGGTTGTACATTGTTCAGACTTTTCCTAAGAAGCTCCAGTTCCCCATAGTTTGAAATCAGTGTCTGACTTCTAAGAAATGAAGCAATCCTACCTTAGTCCTGTTGTGCTTTGAAACAAGGTTCACCTATGTATTTTACATAGGTGCATTTACATAGGTCTAGCTGCAACTCTCAGCTAGACTTTGAGCAATCAAAAGTCTCTCTGCCTTGTATTCCATCCTCTCCTTTCTTATGTGCATTGGGGAGCAGTGATTATCAGTAAGTGAAGTGTGAGTTGTAGAGAGTTGTCTGCCTCTGGGGAGATGATGATGATTCTTCCTTTTTGTAAAATTATGTATGTGTGCACATGAGAAATAACAAAAACGAGAGCAAGTAAACTCACTTTTTCTCCTCCTTTCCAGGATACAGATGGGAGCGTCAGTTAGTGTTTAGGAGCAAGCTAACTATGCACACAGCATTTGATCGCAAAGACAACGCACATCCAGCAGAAATCACTGCGCTGGGCATCTCCAAGTGAGTACCTCAAAACTGGTTATAGAATCATAGAATGCTTGAGTTTGGAAGGGATCTCTAGAGATCATCTAGTCCAACCCCCTGCACACGCACGGTCACCTAGAGCACATGGCACAGGACTGTGTCCAAGTGGGTTTGGAAGATCTCCAGAGAAGGAGACTCCACAACCTCTCCGGGCAGCCTGTTCCAGTGCTCTGTCACCCTCACTGTTAAGAAATTTTTTCCTTAAGTTCATGTGGAACTTTTGGTGCTTCAGTTTGTGGCCTCTAGTTCTAGTTGGTTGCCTGAAATATTTTCTCTGTGCCAATGGTGGATGCAATATGAATCAGCTGTCATCCTTTCTGCAATGCCCTTTTGTGCTGCTTCCATTTAGAACAACTTTGTTCAAGGGCAGAGATAATAAAATATTAAAATAATTAGATTCATTTCAGCTACCGTATGTTTCTCTGTCCTACCAGGCTAACTTAAATGTTAGCTACTGCCCCCAGAGTTTAACATTAGTAAAATCTGACACGTGAAATCTCTCATCGACCTTTGTGTGTCGCTGTGCCCAAATCGTTGCGGCAACACTCCTGATTCTTGTGTTTCCTTGCAGGGATCACAGCAGGATTCTGGTTGGGGATGGCCGGGGCAGAGTGTTCAGCTGGTCTGTAAGCGACCAGCCGGGCCGCTCTGCAGCTGATCACTGGGTGAAGGACGAGGGGGGCGACAGCTGCTCGGGCTGCACCGTGCGCTTTTCCCTCACCGAGAGGCGGCACCACTGCAGGAACTGCGGACAGCTCTTCTGCCAGAAGTAAGTCACTCGCCAGTTTCCTCGTGGCTCTTCCATAAGGAATTTTTAGCTGGGTAAAGCTGTTGGATGTCACTGGGCTCTGCTAACAGGCTGAGGTTTTCCCACTTCTTTACCAAAGCAGAACTGGTAAAGACAACATTGTCAAAACTTCTAGGGAAACACTAGAAGACAGAGGCCAGGCCCTTTATTAAAGCAGTTAATGCAGCAGCTATCAGCAGAGAATTGAATCTGCTTGCATTGTGGAAACTCTCATTACCCATTTGAGGGAGCAAAGTCTCTATACAACTTTGAGGGAAAAAAAAGAAATTACTTGTTTTCCAGCAAATTGTTTGTCTTGTCTCTCCTTGAGCAGCACAGTTGTGATCCAAACTGCATGCATTGCTAAGGATGCTCGTTTTGGAGGCAGGACATACCACCTCAGACATGACACTGTACGACACACAGGATGAGCGTGAGCTCCCCTTAGTCAGGGACTAACGTGGAGACTCAACTTGGGTCCGTTGGGCTGGGGACCTGTGCTGCGTTTGTCCATCAGGATAGGTTTGAGCAGATTTCTAGTGTTTAAGTCAACGTTGTGACACACATTTTGCCGCAGGACAAAATCCCAGCCAGGTCGGTAGAGGATCTACGCTCACAGAGTTGTTTTTCTTCGCAGGTGCAGTCGGTTTCAGTCGGAAATCAAGCGCCTGAAGATTTCATCACCAGTCAGGGTCTGTCAGAACTGCTACTACAACCTGCAGCATGAGCGGGGCTCGGAGGAAGGGCCCAGGAATTGACAGGGCGACGGCCCCCGGAGAGCGGAGCCCCACGGGGCCCTGTCCGGCCCCGCCGCCGCTCCGGGAAGGAGCCACCGGATCGTGCGGTGATCAGAAGGGATTCCAATATTGCCTGTTTACACTTAAGCTTATACTGCGTTTTAAGCACTGAAAGTAAAAGGGATCATGGAGTTGATTTGTGTTGATTGAAGGTATATGAGGCTAACAGAATATTTAAATGAAGAACAAGGCCCAGGAGGACACAAGTGATGACTACAGATACAATAAAACTGTCAACCTCTAAAGCTCTCTGTTGACGTGGCTGTCGAGAAGATCCTCACTTATCCTAACCACCGGTTCTTGTCTTGTTTTTGTAGAGCTAGTCCTCTTTATCGGGGGGAGGGGGGAAGGGGAAGGCTTTTTAGAAGATAGTTGTAAATCTGCCTTCTTCGCAAGCAACTGTGTATATTGTAAATAGGTATAATGGCCTTTTTATCTAATTATGAACTTAACTGCCTGTTACATGGGACTTCAGATTAACCACTATACTTTGTGTGTCATCTTTATCTCATCTATCAACTTAAATATGAATGTTTAAAAAACAAAATGAACTCGAAGGCATTATGTGTATTTTTGTTAAAAATCCAGTCTGTGCATGTTTGTTCTTTCAGTTGCCCACAGTATCTTAATTTAAATAAGGCTCTTCGTAGAATTACATGGATTTTTCCAAAGGAGAACTTTTTTTGAGAATAGGACTTGGAGTATTTTATTCTAACTGTAAGATAACCAGGAACTAAATTGTACACTTTTGTTGCATTTTATACCAAACTATTTACCACCTCAGTGTTGTTCATATTTAACGAGGCCTCTTTTATACATATGTCAGAGCTGCAGTTTTGTTAATTATGTAATGTTTGCTAGCAGCTGATTCATGCAGTGCAAGAACCAGCTTTTACTTTCTTTAGGCAATAGCAATTGGCTTGCAGATAGCTACAGAATTAATTTCCCAGGTGTAAAATTCCCTGCTGTTGTCCTGTAGCTTGCTTTCCAAAAAAAAATTACATGGAACAACATAATTGTTGCTGTGTAACTGGGTAGTATTAATAATGTCAGAAATGCTTCTAAAGCCTGCCTTCACGTACCTGGCATCGAGCTTCAGCTTCAGGACAGCAGCTGATTTCCCTTACAACATTTTTAAGTTTTAACGAATAAAATTTAATAGCACTTTTTTTTTAACTACTCAGTCATTAATTTTGCACTATATGTGGGATGAAGTAGAGAGACACTGACATCCAGAGATGGGAACGCAGGCATCAGGCCTGTGGACTTTCTGAATGAGGTCTTGACAGTGTTTTGGTTTTTTTTTTTTTTTCTTAATTGTTCATGTATATATTTTGTAAATGGGTGACAAACTGATATAGATTTAGGTATATTCACAAGGGATTCTTTTAAATAACAGTGAGGATATGACCCAAACCAGCAGAAGACAGGTCGTGGCTCGGCTTTGTTACACTGGCCTTGCTGTGAGTTTTGCCACCCCAAGCAATGAGATTCATCCCTCACTGGTACCATCGGAGCAGGGCCTGGTCCCGGGGCAGCGGGTATCCAAAACTGACCCTGTCCTTCAAACTGCACCCTCAAAAACTCTAGGCCCCCGTGCGATGCTGTGAGCTCCTTCCAGAGGGTCCTGGGCACATCTGTCTTCTCTTGATTTGAGGCTCGAGCAGTGAGTAATTTGTTAAACCTGACCACTTGCTATTTACCCTGATATCACATGTTTATGCACTGAAGGTTAAATATGTATTTTGATACATGTTGGTTTCTTACGTATGTGCTGGTCTGTAAAATTAGATGAATTCCTGTTTTGGTATGTGTACTAGGTCCCCAAATGAACAGAAAGGCTTCTTTAGAGCTCTTGCACACTGTGGAGTAAATGCAGGTTTATTTAGATTAGCGGGCCCAAATAGATCCCCTTTGAATCCAAAAAACAGCTGAAACTTCCCTGACTTCTGCAGCCGTGCAATTAAAACCCTTGTGACAACAGGGCTTCTGGCAGTGATGCTGGTGGAATCCAAGCACTAAGAACCAAAAGGTGGCATTTAGCACTGGCCCGCGGCCTTCAAGTTGGTGGCCACGTTTAACTCCGCGGGCGCCTGGTCCCGGGGTTATTCCACACTTTTTCCATTGGGCGGCGGAGGAAGGAGCCACAGCCCTCGTCCTTTGCACGTTCGGTGGGGTAGAAGGGAGTTACTAATCAACACAAATCGGCATTTTGCGAGCGCTGACCGCAGCCCCCCGGCTTGATTTCTGTGCCGCGCCGCTCTGCAAACACCCTGGGTGCTTCCCGGAGGCGGAGGGGAAAGGGAACCCCCTGCCCCGCGTTTCCTCTGGCAGCTGGTGCTGTGGGCAACTGCTCTGTTCACTTGGGGGTGGTTTGGCTTTCGTTCTGTCCTTCCGTTTCTCCTCTTTGAAGCTTCTGATGCAAATACTTGCTTTGTTTTCCATGTAAAAAAAAAAAAAAAGAAAAAAATGTGTTGGGCAAAAAACTATACTCATGTACACTAACCTTAGTAGCTGTATTCTCTGCAAGTACCTCACATGTCTTCTCCTGCCTTGTTCTTTGTAGTGTATTTACTCACGTACTCTAACATTTGTATGTAGTGTGCAGCTGTAACGTTGTGCTTACGAGGGGGGGCTGGCTGCCCCAGCCCGCAGGCATCCGCTCGATAGCAAAACACTTTAGATAAGTTATTTTGCACTTTCTTATGTATAAAACTGGTAGAAACTTCTATTTGCTTTGTATCATTTAAAGACTCCTTTTGTTTGGGTAAATGAACTGTGTATAAAATATTTATGCAGTTAAGACTGTTTTTAGAAAGTATTTTTAATTTCAGCAAGTTTGGTTACTTGTTGCATGACTATTAACACAGCTGACTTTTTGTGTCAGTGCAATGTATATTTTTTTTGTCCTGTTATTAACTTGTAAACCCTAGTTAAATGGCCATTTATTTGTACAGCATCAGGAGTAAATTGAAGATAACTGGCTAAGACTGGAGTGTGGAATTTTGTACTATATTGCAGAATCCAATATTGTTTTTTGGTGGTTATGTAAAAGGCCTGAAGATTTACTATCTAGTGTGCAATCTGTGATATCTGAATGTTCATTGTATATTTGTCTCCAATGCAAAAAGGTAGAGTAACACAATTACAATACATGATTAAATGCAATAGTTCAGGTACTTAAGTATTTTTTTCATTTCAAATAAATACCTGCTATTTACCACCAAAAAGCTGTTTTGCATTTGTCGGGAGAATTTGAATGAGAAGCAATATTTGCAGTTGAATAAACATTTTTAAAATAGGAACGGTAACTAATGAGTAGCTTGTTTCTATTATCATGGCAAGGACTACACTTTTATCCCTTGTTAAAATTTTGTGTTCTGAGCATGAGCACAGTCATCCATAATGCTGCAGCATGAAACCTGCTTATAACTTTATTTGTTTTGCTTTACACGGGTCATTGTAACAGTTGAAGCCAACAGAATTTGCCACTATTGAGAAGAACAGGTTCTACCAGTGTACAGAAAATAGACAGTAAGGAAAGATTTGTCGTGCTCGATAAGGGAAATGGAAGAGGAAGAAATACCAAAATCTCATTTAAATCACGTTCCCCGAGGACAGAGCGGCCTCTAAAGTAGAACCTGTCTTTATCAGGTGAGATGTAGCTTAAGGTCCAGAAATGTTGAAACACTTCATTCATTTGCTCTTATGCTCCTTTTTAAGCTGTTAATGCTAGAGAGTGTGATTTTCGTTTTGGTGGTTCCTAGCTGCCAGCACTGACGCCTGCTATCGCTTGGTCTCCCGTTGAAAACCAGGCTCAGTTAGAGCTCCTGTCTCTTGGCTGTTTGTAACATGAACATTGGCAGTCCCGGCGTTTGTCAGTAAGTGATTTCTTTAACTGAAACAAACAAACAAAAATTTCTACTGACGAACTTAACTCTAATTTGGTTTCACCCTGAATGGCACTGAGGAGACACCAGGTCAGGAGGCACTTTTTGCCCAGATCTTGCTGGGCACCTGCTTTGGCATTATTATTATCATTTAAATAAAAGTGTAAGAATTTATGGTCTAATTGCTAACTTCGTAGTTATGCTCACAGAGCAGACAAAAGTCTTCTGCTGCCCAGCGTGGTGAGTATATTTATGCCTTGGGAATGATTGCTCTGGAGAAGTTGGAAGCATTAGGTATTTTCTCCTCCGCTCCCAAGTTGTGGTTTCATCAGCTAATTTGGCTTTGACTCATTTAAAATTGATTTTAGAGAAGAGGAATCCATATTTGAAGAGGAATCCTGCTTGAGCAGAGAGGTTAGACTGGATGATCCCTAGAGGCCCTTTCCAACCTCAACCGTTCTGTGATTCTGTGATACTTGGTGGGTTATCAGAGAGGCAGAGAAGAAAAGGCTGGAGCAGGGGAAACGCTCCCAGGCGCTGGCTCATCTCCATCAGCTCACGCCGTGTCTCATTGCAGGCCCAGGACGCGCTCCGGAGATGCTCCGTTGCCTTCGGCCAGCGCAGACCCGGGCGGCTGCAGGCTGCGCTAAAGCACCCTGCACACTTGCTCCCTGGGAAGGATCTTCGAGGAGCTTCCCGAACAGCCAGGTAACTTAGCTGGCAAACAGTTAAAATAGAGAATTAAAGCCCAGCTTGGACATAACCGTTGCAGTCAGAAGCCATGGCAGAGGGCAAAGCCTCCTCGGCCGCTTGTCCCCTGGCCAAGGCCTGTTCTTTGGGGCAGGGCAGGGAGCCGGTGGGGCAGCGTGAGCTGGGCCAGGAGATACTGCCTGGGCTTGTTTCTTTTCTCACACGCTGCTAAGGAGGGCCAGAGCCTTCAGCGAAGACCCGCGCGTCCCAGCCTCGCTGCTGGGAAGTCCCCAAGGGGTCACTTTTGCTGCAAGAAATCCATAGGGATAGCTGTGTTTCTAACGTATGGGCCTCTACCCCACAGGAGGAAATGCTTCCTTAGTAGCTTTTTTTTCCCAGTATTAGCCAATACCTACTACTGTGGACATAAGAGGTGTAATCATCCTTTCTATATATTTTTGGGGCGTTTTAAATTAAGATTGAGAACCCTCATGCCACTGATTTTGAGTTGCATGAACCTAAACACACTTTTCTCTTCCCTGTATTTGTGCTCAGTCCCTTCACCCCTCTCCTCACTTATCCCCAGGGTGAAGCATATTAGAAATCCCTCTGCTCCCAGGCCTTTACACTGCAGCTTGTAATGATGTTTATACCTTGCTTGTTGTTGGGCTACAGGAACTTGAGTTGCTGAGAAAACGTATTTCGTTTAGAACAAAACAGCAAGGCCCTTTTGCAGAATCTTTGTGTTATGCAACTATAGTAACTGGTATTTATTTATTCATAATATTCAAGGAGCAGTTCTCTTTCATCTTTTCTAACTGGAACTTGCTACATTTTCTGGAGTAGCTAATACTGTGCTTTTGAAATAAACTGAAAAAAGGGCAGATTTGGCGAAGATTCTCGAGCAGGAAACTGATGCTGCCCAGGGAGCAAGATTGGCAGAAGAAATCTGCTGGCAGAAA